TATGCTGAAATTTTAATTCATGTTCTGACTCCTACTGTATTTTCAAATGATAGCTAAATATTAATAACTTATTTTGTAAACAGAAATAAAAATAAATCAGTAAATTAGAGGATTGACTATCATATTGCTAAAACTTTGTTTTAAAATACTTATTACACTATTGCGATGAGACTTTAGAAAGTACTTGATTTACAAAAAGAAAAAAGAAATACCTTGTAGAAACATATCTCTTGTGGATCATGCTTAATATCTCATAGCCTATATCCAGTCAATCAATAAGGCCTGTCAAGTTTACCTCACAAATTTCTCTCAAATCCATTCACATATCTCCATCTTTATTGCCATCAACCTATTGTATTGTAGTTCGAGAAACGATCATTTTTTTCTCCTGGGTGCTTGCAGTAGCCTCCTTCAGTATTGACTCTTGGTTCCCTCTAATCCATTTTCTATAGGGAAATCAGTGTAGTAACCCTTAAAGTAAAACCAAAAACAACTAACCTGATCATGTGACACTCTAGTCTAAAACAAGTCAATGGCTTCTCATTGCACTAACGTTAAAGATCAAACTGCCTAAGGGGGGCCCTGGAAGGTCTACTGCTAATTCTGTGTCTGGGCTTCTATTCTTTTATTTGCTTTTTGAAAGATCTTTCCTCTTTTCTAACTTAGGCTGCTCCCCAGACTTAGAATTATCTTTCTCTAGGTTGCCTTCATGCTGTCCATCTATCTACCCCTTCCCTTCTCTAAGCGCAGGCTCCCAGGTGTGTACACTTGGAACTTCCCCTCTTGCTCCCTCATAACAAACATGGAACACGATTGCCCTTCCCCCAGGAATATAAACCACGTGAGAGCGGTGTATCGCCAGTCTTGTGTATGGGCTTTATCCCTAGTAGAATGTATAAATGTATGGGGAGGACTCAATATTGACTGAAAAAAAAAATGGAAAAAAAAGGAGCAAGTGCTTTTTTCTTGATTATTCATTATCTCAATTATGAATAATTCACTATAATGTCTATAAACATCAAGTTGAAGTAAAATTGCTAAGTTTTCCTGGATAGGTACATATTTACTATTTTTTGTCTCTATACCAACAGATCAGTCTTGTCCAAGTGGCCTAGTTTTCAAGTACAATGTAAAAGCCTGCAATAGTTCTTGCCGATCATTGTCAGAGAGAGATAGGAGCTGTGACGTAGAAGATGTTCCAGTAGATGGATGCACTTGCCCCGATGACATGTACCAGAACAATGAAGGAAATTGTGTTCCGAAATCCGAGTGTGACTGCTACATAAATGATGAGGTCATGAGACCAGGCAACCTCATTGAAATCGATGACAATAAATGGTATGGAGATTACATATATATTTGTTATGACTGAAATCCAGGGACTGTCCTTTTCAGAAAAATAATCTTTTGCTACTATGAAGTCTTCTTTAGACCTGTCACATTTTTTTTTAAATTTTGTGTTTCTTAGTAAGGTTATTGTCTGCTCTAACCTGGAGTATTCACTGTATCATCATGGCGATAACTGATTTATCCTATTCTTGTTTGGTTTTAATACTAGTAAAAGAGTATTCTATCAGTGCCTACATGCAAACAACGCAAAACAATTTCACATTCAGACAATGCTTTCTAGTTGTCCCTCAGCATTCATCGTTAAACAAATACTTACTAAATAAATATCTACTCTGTGCCAGACCTCGTGCTGAGTTGCTGAAGTTATGAAGACAGGTGAACATTGTCTTGTGCTCACAGAGTAAACAGGGTGCTGGTTGCAAGGATTTTTGTATACTTGTATACTATAATATGGCACAGAAAGGGCCAGTGGCTACCTGAGGAGATAAGGAATGCTTCTCAGAGGAGACCAACATTTGAGTTTTCCAAAGGATGAATCTTATTCCAGACAAAATTGGGGCATAAAGAGTGATTTTCAGTAGAGTAAACTGAATGCACTAATACAGGAAATGCTTGAAAATGTATTGCACATGTAGGTCATTGTTGCATAGGATTGGGCTAGAAATGTAGGCAGTGGCCAGGCCATGCTCAATAATCTGAACTTAGTTCCTGGGCAGTAAGAGGTGAAGATATGTGACTTTATAATGGCTAAGGAGGTTGTGGTTTCTGCAAAGAGATTTATGGGACAGTCATTTATCTATATGTCTAAATACATAAATAGATATAGCAATTCTTAACAACATAACTGCAAAATTGAAGTAGCCATTCCAGAACGCTTTGGATGCACAATCTATGTTTTCTTTGGTTCCATGAAGCAATCATTTAGCAATGAGTTGATATTTCTTGGCAGTTTAAAAGGAAAGCATAGGTAACAGTTCTTTTTCCTCAAAGCACACAAAATATTTAGTTGAGGCTTGATAATGATACTGTCTGCAGATGTTGGAGAATCAGTAGATTACCTTTTAAATAAAAGAGGCTAGCACCCCCAAATGATGGTTCCATTCAGCACAGCATTACCCTATTTCAGACCCCCCTGAACTCTTACTGGCAGTACTATAATTGCTAGTGTTCTTTGTCCTGTGTCTCTCTGCCTCGGTCTCTATGTTTCCTGCACTCCCACTAGAATATCTAACCTAAAGCACCATTCAATTTGTGCCACTTAGCTGCTCAAAATTGTTAATGATGACAGTTGCCTGAAGAATAGAAACAAACTTCCATGTCATTTAAGACCATCCGAAATATGGACCCAACTCACTTTCACCAATTTTCCCTATTATGCATTCTACCTTCTACCCAAACCAATCATTGGAACATACCTTGTTCTTTCCTGCATCACAGCTTTGCATTTTATCAGCAGCATGTGTTGACTCTTACTGATCCTTTAAGATCCAGGCATCTTTCCCATGAAGTTTTTTTTGATGTCTACGCAACCTTGTTTGTACATTTCTATAATATATATAAGGCTATATCTTATCATTTAGTACCTTTGCATCTTCTGGGGGACTATGTCTCATTCATCTGACTACTTGTGATGAAACAGGTGGCTTATGAATGAGGGGTTAAAGTTGCTGTAACAATGTATTGATATTAAGATGCTGTCATTGAGGGGCTGGCTGAGTGGCTCAGTTGGTTAAGAGCTCGCTCAAGAGTTTGAGCTCTGAGCAACAGTGGTTCGGGACAGCCCATTGAAATGTGATGTTTAAATGTGTCATTTTCTTTTATTTCCAGTGTCTGTCAAGATGGGGTTCTTCTTTGCCAGATTCCCATTGATTTAACCCAACGTAAGTGTTGAAATCATGATGCAAGCTTAAGACCTTCTGCTTTGGTTAAAACAAACAGATCAAGAGGGCCTTGATTAACTATAGCTTCCTATATCTTACAGAGACTTGTCCTGGAGGGGCTGAATACGTGGACTGCAGTGATCCTAAGGCCCAGAGAAGAGTTGACAGTACATGCAGCACTCGGAACATGCCTAATTTTGATGTAAGTGACATGGTGTTAGAGTTTAGTTCTTTAAAAGGGCAGAAGAAAACTAAAATATCAATGAATTAATAATTAGAAGGTCATGTTATTTATTATATGTTATTTTCACTTGTCAAATGTTAGCTCTAACTGTATGCTTGGTATATTTATGTATTATAAATTAATGCTCATAATGTGATGTGTTTGAAGCAGTGCCTCATGGTATATATTTTATACTTGTTTCTGTAGGGAAACTTGCCTTGCAAACGTGGGTGCTACTGTCCAGTAGGAATGGTTCGAAACTCTAAAGGGATCTGTGTCTTTCCCAATGACTGCCCATGCTCTTTTGGTGGACGAGAGTATGAACAAGGAAGTGTCACCTCAGTTGGCTGCAACAAATGGTGAATAATAAAGGATTACTATTTTATTTTGGATTTAGAAACTGTACAGTCTGCTCTTATGTTTATGAGAAAGAAGAGGTCATGCTTTGGGATATTTGCAAAAAATGCTGGTCAAATGTAGTTAGAAAAAAATGCTATTTCTTTAAGTGGAAACTTATATAGCCTTCTATATGATGAACATCATGAGATATAATGAAAATAACTGCAAAAGTTACATCAGTATGAAACACTGTTTTGTGTTTCTTTATAAAAGTAGTATGAGTATATACATCTTGGAATAATATAATTACCATACTCTATCATTGCTTTCTTTTAGTACTTGCTTAAAAGGATCTTGGAGTTGTACACAAAATGAATGTCAAGCTACCTGCCACATCTATGGGGAAGGTCATGTTCGAACTTTTGATAGAAACAGCTACAGCTTTGATGGTCTCTGCCAGTATTCATTTGTGGAGGTAATTGCAAGTGTGTTTTATCACATTTTTTTCTAAATTTCTTACTTATTGTTTATTGTGGATGAGATCTGGGAAATTTTGTTCTCAAAATGTGAAATTTTAAAAAGAGGCCTAAGGCAGTGTCTTGAAAGCAGTGAAATGTAATAGAGTATAATGCTGACTCTTAAGGTGGTTGACCCAGATTTCAATCCCGGCTCCACCATTTCTCAGATGTGTGACTTGGGCACATTCCTTAGCCTCTCTGTGTCTCAGTTTCCTTACCTATAAAACGGGGAGAGCAGTAGCCTCTACTTGAAACCAAGTTAGGGAAAATATGGGAACATGCTAAGTGCTTAATAAAAGTTAGATATTACTGTTATTTTAAGAACAGCACTATCAGCAACAATGACAGCATTTTATGAGAGCTTCTTTGCCAAGCAAATTTATATATTTTATTACATTTAATCATAATAATACCAAAAGGCTGATATTATTTTTCCTATGATTCAGATAAAGAAATTGAGGTTTAGAGAGGATAAACAACAAAAATTACTAAGTGGACAAGACCATGTTCAAACCTGATCTATCTGATCCCAGAGTTCATGCATGTTACATACAACTAAGCTGCTTCCTCCCTAAGACCTAATGGTTGTTTTGTATGTATGTATACATTAGTTTTGACTGAATATCAAGTTTCATCTAAATCACTGAGGAAAAAAATAATTTACCTTTACCTATTTATAACTTCTAGAAATAAATCTATGATTACAAACTTATATAATTTAAATACTTATATATCTCTGGTGTAATTCTAAACTTGTATAGAAGGAATGGGAAAAGGGCTGAGTCAAAGCAAGTTAACAAGTTTGACCTCAGTCAAGGCTACCTACCCGTAAATGCAATTAAACCATTGTCTTTTAGAAATTTCCATAATATAGTATTTGGTCATTTATTGAGTTTAAGGTGTCACTGACTTTGAGACATATTTGATACAAATATTATAATTAAGTTCCATGTCCCTGATATTAAAAAACATCTTATAACTTTATTTTTAAAGGATTATTGTGGTCGTGAAAATGGCACATTCCGTATTTTAACTGAAAGTGTCCCATGCTGTGAAGATGGGCTCACATGCTCAAGAAAAATCATAGTTGCTTTGCAGGTATAGTACTATTTCTCTCTATTTACTGTTTTTTTCAGATTATGAGTGGCCAAATAAAACTCACATAAGCCTATCTTTTAATTTACAGGATCAGAATGTTATCTTGCAGGATGGTAAAGTAACAGCAATTAAAACTACAGAAAGTAAGGAATGTGAACTCAATGGAAATGCATATTCTGTACATACCGTTGGCCTGTACTTGATTCTGAAATTTTCAGTTGGAATAACCGTAATTTGGGACAAAAACACAAGGATGTCTGTTATAATGGATCCACGCTGGAATGTATGTACATTACTAATAAGAAATCAACTGGGAAACAAAATCATTTCTGTTACTGAGAGTTAGAGACATACTTACAGGTAGAAAGTGGGAGAATGGCAATCTCTATTATACAACAAGCCCTCCACATCTATTTAACCTTTGAAATAGTGTTATCAAAGATGATTGAATCTGGTGAAAAATAAATGCAATAAACCTGAAGTATTCTAGTTGATCCATATTTGGTTATTTGAGGTTATTGCAAAATTCAATTTTGAGGTAGCTGGCATATATATAGAATTAAATGTATTCCTGGTAGCAAATATTCTAAGAACCTAAGAGTATATTCATGCGTAATTTGAAGCTAGTGAGCATAATTATTTTAATTCTTAAGGCATTTTTCTTAGTTGATACTAAATCATTTTATGATATAGGATGTCTTGGATTAAACAGGAGCAGAATCTTATCCACAGATTCTGGTTTCCTTCCAAAAATTGAAATTTAAAATAAATTCATGATACATAACTCTGATTATATATAATAATTATCATCTGTCTATCTACCTATCTATCTCTATGTATATCCCTAGTACAACTCGCTTTTTAATTTCCCTTTCTGAGTCCAACTCTCTCTCTATCTACATGTCTACATATCGATTTACACAACTTACTTGTTAATTTCCCTTTCTGACCTGTGTAGGGCAAAGTCTGTGGTCTTTGTGGAAATAGCAACGGCGATCTCAAGGATGATTTCACAACAAGATACTCATCGGTCGCTGCCGGAGCACTGGAATTTGGAAATAGTTGGAAAACAAGCCAAGAATGTTCAGACACAGTAACTCAGACGTACCCATGTGACTCAAACCCATACTGTAAGGCCTGGGCTGTGCGGAAATGTGAGATCATCCGGGACAGTACCTTCAGAGACTGCCATAACAAGGTAGCACAGGTCTGAGGGCAAGCACCTCCCCAGGGTTTGCTCCCAGAGACTCACGTGCTGTCCTCTGCCTAGGTGGACCCCAATACTTACTATGATGCATGTATCGAGGAAGCCTGTGCATGTGACATGGAGGGGAAGTATCTGGGCTTCTGCACATCTGTGGCTATGTACGCGGAGGCATGCAGCGCAGTTGGGGTCTGTGTCACTTGGAGAAAACCTGATCTCTGTCGTAAGTGAAGTTCATGTATTGTTGTTCTTTAATGACATAATTAGATATAATTATTTTGTTAGATAATCAACCTTCCTCTCACATTTTCTATAAAACACAGTCTTGTACCTAGAAATGTTTAAAAACATGTTATGTTATGGTGGGGAAAAAATACCTATTAAAAAAAATATTGCACCTGGCATAGCACATCAAATTCAATTTGAAAAGGTCTTATGTTCAGAGGGGAAAACATTTGAATACTGATGGAGAAGACTGAGTCAGGCTTAGAGGAACAATGAACTATTTACCTATCTTGTTATAGTCATATATCCTTAAACATTGACCTCATATATTACTTTTGGTTGAAGTCCTCACACATTATCTTGAAAACTTTTGTAGAGCCCTATTCAAAATAAACTATAAAATAAATGTAAATTGAATGTTGATATGCATGGAAAGTGATAACTTTAATAGAAATCAATTAACTCTTCCTTTTCAAGGAAGGTACTATGAGAGAAAATATGACAAATGAGTGACATTGAAATTGAATCCTCATTTTATTCAGTTCATTATGCACAGCATTATAGTATATGGAAATCTTCAGTTGCCTCATTTGGGCGCTGTTATTCACATAGTAAAGAAGTCTAATTTTCCTAGAGACTTAGTTTTCTAATTTAAGCTTGAACATTAAAATTGCAAATTTACACTATAGCTATAACTATCTCAAAATAGGAAAAATTAATGTTACTTCTCCACCTCAAACTGACGTTAGTGTGAGATGTCGAAGTTAAGTACTGTTTTGATTCTATATGCTGCTTTTCCCTTTTTTTTTTGTGAGCTGCTTTGGTTTATAAGGCAATTTGGTCAAAGCCAAAGGAAGTTGATAAGACAGAATGATATATTTTTAGGTCTGTTTCTTATTATTACTCAAAATCCCTTTTTAAATGCTTTGGAAAATGAAAGGTGAAGATAAGTATATAATGAATGGGAGTAATTTGATATAATTTAATTACAGCCGTCTACTGTGATTATTATAATGCACCTGGAGAATGCAGCTGGCATTATGAACCTTGTGGTACAGTGACTGCAAAAACATGCAAAGATCGAGTCATTGGCCAGAAATTTTCTGCACTTTTAGAAGGTAAGGCACATTTAATAATATCAAAAAAACAGTGCAAATTATATTGATACTTAAAATTGGAAAATGTTCAGTTTCTGCCAATTTGGTGTCAAGTATTTTATAATTTAATAAATAGTTATCTTTATTGTGACACTAGCATTTCTACATTAGAAACATTTTTTTTTCCTGGACATCAATTATCTGTTTAATAGGAGACGGAAAGAGAGACAGGAGACACAATCCCATTGCCTGTTGTCATTTTTAAAGATGTGATATTATTTTGCTATTATCTGCTTCAGTTCTTGGAACCATTTAAGTAACTTTACAAATAGATAATGCATTATGATCAGTTTTAGTAAACAGAGATAAACCACAGGTCATTTTTACACACAGGTTGTTATGCTAAGTGCCCGGACAGTGCTCCTTATCTGGATGAGAACACCATGAAATGTGTCAGTTTATCTGAGTGCAGCTGCTTCTATAATGATGTCATACCAGCAGGTGGAGTGATCCAAGATAACTGTGGAAGAACATGGTACATTCTCTACTACCTTTTCAACAAGCAATTCTGTTTCTTTCGTTTTCATTTAAGAAAAAAATATATGTATATAATTTTAACACTGTTATTTTTAAATAAGAAGGCCAGCTTTAGGTTTAGTTGCATATTAGTTAAGATGGTTATTTTGTATTTTCAGTAAATCTACAGATCAACAAATGGTTTGTTAAATCTTATACTTAATAATGCAGAAGACAGAGCAGAAAATGTCACTGTAGTTTTAGATATAAAGAAAGTTTCAATTCTATAAGATCACATTTATAGGCTTTCAGACAGTGACATGAAAGCGAAGAAGAGGTGGCATCTGTATTAGAGCAGTATGGCCATCAGTAAAATGCTTGAAACTGAAAATGTAAGAACTAACTTTGTAGCTTGATTTTTCGGAAAGTATTCTTTTAGGTCCCAGGAACTCCTCAGTGAAATGATTAGAAATAACATCGCATGAAAAAGCAAGCAATTTGAATCAGTTGCAGGCTCTTGGGGAAACAATTATTTACTGTTCTCTTATTTGGTTGTGTTTTAATTTTCACTGTTAGAAATTTGTTGTTTTAAATTTGGGAGATGAACGTCATTAGGAGTTAAAATTTTAACCGCATTCTTTCTTTTTATTTTTTTAATTTAATTTTCAGCTATTGCATTGCAGGAGAGTTGGCGTGCAGTGGTGAGTCATTATATTTTACTCTAATTGATTTGGAAAAGATGAGATAAAGGGTTTGGGATCTTTTCAGACCATCAACAGCAGAGTAGGTACTTCATGCTTTAGACTGCCCTTCAGTGGACTGAGCCGATTCTATTACATTGTATTGTGTTGAGTCACTTCAATACCAAGGCATTTCAAACAACTGGCACATGGGGCAGTTTTGCTGCGTGCCTCCGCCTATCTGTATGTTCTGAGAATTAAGGGAGTGAGACATCAGTCTAAATGGTTTAATAAAGAGATGGAGTGGAAAGTGAGGGTTAATATAGATAGACTTACATAATTGAAGAATGGCTCATGAGCAACACATATCTCAAAAACAAAACGCAATAGCTTCAAAAGAATATACGAACTACTTTTTGTATTAGAAATTGTAAAAAGTAAATTTAAAAAGAGACAGATAACTAACAGGTAACTTGAGATTTCAAAGCTTTTCATGATTTTGCATGTTTGTGAATAATAGTAATTTATGATTATTTCAGAAATTCCTCCCACGAATGCAACATTTACAGGTAAAATCATCACTATGTTTTCAATATGTATTCCTAATTTCCTTTTGTGAATAATTTTTTTTATAGTTTTGCATTAATCTGTGCCAGTAAAAGATATGCTGATAAATCTGCTGATACAAAATTTCAAATTAAAATTCAAGTTAGTAGAAAATATGTCAAAATATTCTTTCATTATAGTCCTGTGAATTAAGTTAGGAATATGATTAGAGCATACAGTAGGCATTGTAAGCTTATTAGCTAAATATCATAACCCAAAGTTTGATATTTTTTGATAATAATTGGAATTAGTGGAATGAAAAAAAGTAAATGTTCTTCCATGAAGTAAATATTTTAAAATGATTACACTGGGAGATAATTTGAAAACATATAAGTTAATTTGAAAACAGAAATAACAAGTGAATCCTTTTTCTTAACTCATGTTTTTGCTCTGAGCTATAAGGGCACTTCTGTTGTGTTCATTCCAGAAGTGCTGGGCAAAATGCAGTTTACTTTAGTTTGGGGACTTTTAATTTACTGGCAATATAAGTATGCTTAGAGTTGCCATAGTACACCTATATATGTGTGTCTTGTGTGATTCAAGGAGAAGTTTTATTTCCTGTAGGCTAATATTTGGAGATGGTGTCAAATGAGAGATATTACAGTAAATTGGAAGCCTTTCGTTCTGATAATATATTTAAGGTTGTGTGATCATCTGTAAAATGCTATTTAAATTTTAACTATTACCTCTTACTAACATATCACATATCAGTGTTCTGAACCTTATTTTTTGGTTCATAAATAGACCTTATAAAGTTCCTATGAAATTTTGGTTAAGTGGTAATTAGTTATTTTTGGTGGACATGCAATAAATACTTAGTGTTGTTTTGATTTAAATGAGAGATTGCTTTGTACACAATTTCAGAAATTTGTATTTAGTTTATGGCAACTGGTTTCTTGAACTAAATGTCCCAGAAAAAATTATTCAAGTAATTTATTTTCATTAATATTGTCTTCCCTAAACAGTTACTACAACAGCTACCTCCATATTAAACACCGAAGCAGGTAAATCAACGCTTATTTGGTTTTTAGCTTTTAAGTACGAAGCAAACTGAATTTGCAATTCAGACATTTTGGCCCTACTTTCAAATGTGTCATTCTCTACTTATTCATCCCCTAAAGGCTAAATATTTAGATCTACAGGGCCGGCCTTGTGGCTCAGTTGGTTAAGAGCTCGCTCAGGAGTTTGAGCTCTGAGCAACAGCGGTTCAGGTCCAGCCCGAGCTGAGCAGCCGCTGAGCTGCCAACAGGTAGCAGGATGGCTCAGCTAAAAAAAAAAAAAAAAAAAAAAAAGATCTACAGCCAATTGTCACATTAGTAGAATATCTTCTCTATTCAGAGGTTATGTGTCCTACAAAGAACTTTCCACATGGTACATACTAATTTGGAGAAAGTGGCTGCTGAAGAAAATTCTATGTTAAATTCTTTGAAAATAATTTACAATTTCTCTTTTACTAACAACAAGGAATTTTAACTTTAATTGAATGATTTGTAATTAAGTCAGCTGCCAATATAGCACAGAAGTATATTGAAATGTTCAAACATCTGATAAATAAATTTAACTGTTATATTTAATCATTTATTTGCATTCTAGAGATACCTAAAAATGTCTTTTAATTAATCTACATTTCCAAATGTTTGTCTCCTCCATTCTTTAGCAGTTACATTGGTAACCAGTAGCTCACATACAGGTAAGCCTTAATCTCCAGCCACACCTTAATCAAGAGGGCATTAAAAAAAAAATCCAAAACATCCTTTTGTAGTATTATACCTTGGCAGTGTTATTTTTAGGGGAAGTTTTATTGTTTGTTTGTTTTTCTTTTGTTCTGTTTTGTTTTAAGAAGATTCTAGAGGAAGACTTTGGGAAAAAATATTATATAAAATAACACGTTTTTTGACCTTTCATTTTACATTTTAACGTCTATTCACCTATATGATCAAATTTATCTTTAACATTCATTTCAGTTTGATCCATTTTATATATGACCTTAGATATGCTCAGAAACATAATTTTCCCTCTACATGAAACTTATTTTTTTTTCCCATTGTTTTCTTTAATTCAGGAACTCTCATTCCAGGGATTAAAACATCAAGCAGTGAAACAACAGGTAGGTGAATTAGAAAACCTATAAAATTACGAAGTTTTTAACACGGGTTAAAATTGTTTTCTTTGAACTTACATGTATTATGTAGAATCAGCCTACCCACTCACCTGTACTTAGGACTCTTTCTTCCTCCAGCTGAACACTATTTCTCTTTCTTCTGTTATTTATTGCTTTCTTCTAGTCTTTATATATATACTTAAATCCATGATCTTTTATGTGGTGGCATAATTGACATATAACGTTATATTAGTTTCAGGTATACAACATAATGATTCAATGTTGGTATATACTGAGGAATGATCACCACAGGAAGTCCAGTTAATTTCCTTAAAGTCACAGACCATGGTTTGCCATTCTTGTATTTCCAATTGCACCTCACCTCAATCTATAGAATAGTTACTATTCAATAAATCTTTGTAGAATAAAAGGATGGCTGTCCTTTTTCTGTGTCCCAAATTTATAAATCAGGTTTTTTATTTGGGCACAGAATTTCTGGTGAAGGTTAGACTATGGATTAGATATTATTTATACTGATAAATCTTACAATTTATACATTTCCTTCATTGGAGCTAATATTCCTTCTTTAAAATACAAATTTTTGAATTATAATTTTATATCATGATATAGACTTATGACTATAATTTTGAGTACTTTGTTACTCTTAGCATTGTCTGATTTATTTGGTAATTGATATATTGCTTATATTCAAAGGGTAAATATATATGTTAAAGTATCAGATGTCATAGTGTGGAATATCATTAAAAATGCCCAAACTAATATGTTTAATGCTTATCAATCTTTTTCTTATGTTGAATATCATTAGCAATGTTAAGCCCTACTGCCTTTTTCAATGTAAATCTTGGAAAGACTGAAACATTTAAGAAACATTTTTCTCTATTCTATAAATGTAAATTCATTTCCTGAGCCCTAGTGACAATTTCGTCCCAAAAGTTCTTCTTTGTTTTTTCATATGCACTACAGGATAATTTTCTAGCCACATATTATCTCAGCCATAAACAGTGGACTAAATTCCTAATTCTCAGCCTGGTTCTGTTTCTATTATGAATAATTTGGTTTAGTTATATAGCTCTCTTTTAGTTAAAATAAAATATTTCAACCAGCTTTTAGAAGTTTGGAATCTTTTGATCACTTAGAAAAATAAAATTCTTGACTGTTGATTCTATGAATTGTATAGTTACGCATGAGTCATAAGCAATTTGGATAACTATTTCAATATGATGATGATAACTGCATCCTATATACCACAACAGGAACTCAGAACTAAGAAAACTGGCTTGATTTTTTCCACCTTATACTTATGTTTCCTGTTATTGCTTTTTTTTCCCACAGGCACTCAGTTTTGAACATAATATTCTAATGATTTTTTTTGTCAACACTTTGGATTGTAGCAAGCAAACTTTTCATAGATTACCTAAAGAGTGTTTGTGAGCAACTGATGAAGTTTTAGATGAAAATGTTTAATTAACTTTAAAACATTATACAAATCTCATCAATGATCTCCACCATAGCATTTAAAAAATTATAAATCTAATGTAGTTGAATTATAGGAATGATTACTTAGATGATTTTTTTCCTGAATTCATTAGGTATTATTTATGGCTTTATGGTTAGCATTACTAATTCCTAATGCTTTATTTAATTTCACTGAAATTCCAGTAGATATTTCATGCTCTATAAGTATAATGTTAATAATTTATTAAATGTTATATTAGTACTGTATTGTAAGATGTAGCTAATAATGACTTTTAATGAGGGGTTAGTCATTATATCATTCTAGTCGTTATATCAAGTATTTTTCACTCAATATCTCATTAAATCTCAACAATGCCCTGATTAAGTACTATTTTCTTCATAATCTCCTATCCCTCATCAGTTTATAGGGGAGGAGAAGTAAAGAGCTTAAAAAAATTTTCCAGGATAACTAAAATCAGAAGAAAAAAACCTTTCTGGTATGTAGAGAGAAATTGGGGTATTTTTCTTTTCCTTATTGTCCATGAATGCCAGAAATTATAATTTCAAAGATATGAATTATTAAGGCATCAATATTATTCTAAAATCAAGAGGCAAAAGTAATTTTTAGAAGTTTATTTTTTCATGTTAAAACTATACAGTTGTACCACAAATTGTATGTGCTTGAAATAAATTTCATTAAATAATATGATACACAGAAAACAGTAATTATCAAGTTATTGAATAAATGATACTTTCCAGCAATTATTAACAATGTACATGTAGCTTATCTTATTGCTAGAATAAATTAATAGATACTTATTTCCCAGGTGAACTGAGGCATACAAAATTTTGTTCATTAATTAAATTTCAATTTTAAAATAATGATTAGCGGTAAGACTTGGTTTAATTCTTAGTTACTTATCCACTATTCCACACCTTCTTTTCTGAGACTGTGCTCATTGTCATACATAATAGGTGGAAATTTAACAATTATTCTAACAATAATTGATTTTGTTTTCCCCAAAATCTGTGACTTGCGGGCAGGGGGGAGCAAGTGTCGGATCATACCACTTGATCATCTATGTTGATTGAATTAACTAGATAATCATAAATTATCTACTTCAACTTGTGCTGTGGATTCCTGGACCAGTACAAAATATTCAGGATAAAATGTGACATTTCTGGACATAAGAGATAACATGTCCTTTTACTTCTGACTAGGGAATCATAATAATTTCTATAAAGTAAGGAGGGCAATCAGAAGAATCTCCTGAATTAATACCCATTTTATGGATTTTGATTTTTTTTTCAGAAATAAACTGTAAACTCTGCAGTACCCAATTTATTGTTTATTAGAGAAAATGTTACGGATGCTCCTTAAGCTTATCTGTCAGACATTTATATTAAGTAAAATGGAACTCACTGAAGGAAAATGGCAAAACAATTTTTTACAAAATTAAAATGCTTCTTAAAAGTAATAAAAAAAACAGTGGTGGCTTGAAAAGTAATTGCAAGATTTTATTTTAATTAAGTTTATCATGAGGTGAAAATATTTAAATGAAGTTAAAATGATAAAATAAATTATTTTATTAAGTATCATGAGATAAAAATAAATGGACACTGTCACTGATAATTTTTAGGATAGATTACTATCTCGCAACGCACAGAGCTATCAATATTTTGGTAAAGGCGGCTCTTCCTATTACCATTTATGTCTTGGCAACAAGGAAGCTGATACACAGTAATTCATAAAATCAAGTATGTTGGCATGTCTGTTCATTTGCAAGCAATGGGGACACTAAATGAAATTGTAATGTTTATGGGTATCAAAACTTATGAGAACATTGATGCTTTATCTATCAGTTTTGGTAATTAAGTCATGAAGAAAGTGTATTCTTATATATTTCTGTTAGTAAAGGCTTATCCCTACCTACTTTTATTAATGTGTCAAGAATTTCAGACTTATGTCTTCTGAAGTTCATTTGTGTTATAGTAGCCTGACTGGTATGTACTCAATCTGTGACTAGTTTAGATATAACTCTTGCAACCCTGATAAAAGATAGGTCCTTGAAATCCACTTTGGAACATGTTGCCACATCAATTACAAGGCAAGTCCTGTAAATGTGTTTTCTCATTCATGTGCTAAAATTATTTGCGATCCATTCTCTACCATCTATGGTGAGCCACTGTGTTTATCTTAACTCCACATTGATCAGAGCATATACAGATGTAGAAAGTCTGGAGAAGACTTGATTCTACTCTGTATGATAATGTTGCTTTTAATTAAATGTAATTGTTTTCAAATTGAAAGAGCTCAAATTAGGGTCACTGGAATTTTTTAAAGGTTAAATCTGTACTGGGAAGTGGAATCTGAACCAAAATCTTTCATGTATCAGGGTCAATTGTGCTACATCATTACAACCTTGATAGTCTTTGTGGACCATGACATAACAGTCTTTCTATGCTATCCTTGCATCCAGATCAGCAAGACATTTTAATTCAAAGATTCACTTATGTGCTCATTAGTGAGAAAAGACAAGATCTGAATTGGTGTGTTGCTGGTGTCGGCTTGATATTGTTCTGAAAATTCTCCTCAACTAGAGCTTGGCATTAATTTTAAGAATTCTCCCATAAATGTCTCAAAATACTTAACATTTTGTGAAGTAATCAGGGGACATATGATATTTTATTATTTATTTGATGTATTCTATAATTTCTAGTCTAATTTATAATATTACCATTAATATGGTGAGTGGATATCAAACAGTACTATAAAAAGTGGTACATTTTAGATAGAGGCAGCATTACACAAAAAGCTTTATGAGTCACAGTCCTACGTACTAAGTGACTTAGATTTTAGTCCCAATTTTGTTGCTGACCATCTGTGATCTTGAACAAATTACTCAACTTTTCTGAGGCCAATTCTTCATATGCAGAATAGTAATAATACATTCATTCATTCATTTGTTCATTCACTCATTCTATTGAGAAATACTTATCAAGCATCTATTATGTGGTGGAACTCTAATATCACTAGAGATATAAAGGTGAGTTAAAACAGAAATGCTCTCTACCTTCAGAAAACTACTCAGAAAGATGGCTATTAATCAAGTAATTACAAAACAAATGAAAACTTGCATCAATGACAAGAGCTATGAAGTACTTAAAATGGGGTGAGGCGGGTCGAGAAAGGATATGATTAAGCCAAGATGGTCAGGAAAGGCTGAAGAAAAGATGATTGAGTTGAGAACTGACCAATGAAGGATTGACTAGATAAAGAGGCAAGAAACCAAGTATAGGGAAATGCAAATAGCAGGTATGAAAAACTAAAGGAAAGCCAGAATGGCTGGGCAGTAAGAGAGGATCAAACAGAGAGAGTGTGTGAGATGCTTTTTTTCCTTTTTAAAATTACAAAACACTATAAAATTGTAAAGTGACATTACCAGAAAAAGAGTAGATTTCCAGTAATCTTCAATCAAAATTGAGATTGAAATACAGAAAATAACTGACACTTCATTATTTATGAAAACTTACTTTTAAGTCCATAGACCCCCCCTCAACGAACATTTAATAAATTCCTACCACATTCCTGGCAATGGGGCAGGCACTGAGAATGCAAAGATAAAAATATGGCCTCTTTTTTCAGGAATTTACTGGTAACTTCAAATTGATCTCCATGAACTGCTATATCAAATCATAAAAGAAATCCTAAAAAGTATTTCTCCTTTTCTCCACCCAACCCCTTATAAGCTAAATGCTACTTTGTAGGAAAATATTGAGGGCACAGATAACCAAAAATAGAGTGAAGTCAAAGGAATCATAAACTGCAAAATCAGCTTCTGCTTAACGAAGAATTAACTATGCCATTGTTGATACATATTTGTTCCATTTATTCTGTATTCAGTAGAATTGAGCACACACACACACACACACACACACACACACACACACACATGCACGCACACACATGCACACACACACTCATTGGAAAGTATGTTATAATGTCACTATTTTTAAAATAAAATGTGTTGTTACTGTCAACACCAAATAGATTGCAGAATACTATCTATTGAAAATTAACAAGCAAGCAATCTTTGTAGTTTTTTCCCATGAGGTCAGAAAAATTCACATCATTTTTCTTTTTCTTATCAGGAACAACTGTAAGTCTACCCAGTGAACTTTTTACTACAGGTTAGTATATAAACTCCTGGTTTTTATATGTTTAAAAATAGCTAATAGTATAAATTATTAGTAATTTGGGGTTTTTAAGAAAAAATTATATAAGATTTATGACTTTGGAAAAAAAAATTCAAACAAGTAGTTTACTGGGCTTTTCCCACTGGTTTTAAACTTTTTCTAGAAAACTGAATTTAGTTTTTGACCAGTTTCTGTTGATTGGCTATCATATGGTTTCCAGTTTTATTTTCTTCCTTATCATTAACTATTAATGTTACATCTACAACAGTACTAAATTATATCAAGCTCAATTTTTTTCAAAAAAGAATAAAGGATGAGAGAAAACATGTGTATCTAGTGATATAGTTTGTTCTTTATGTGTTTTTTAAGTATAAAAGTAGCAATTAGCTATTTCATGATATTATTTCATCATTATCACTATCATCCCTGAGTGACAGTGTCATTAGAACATGAGGTTCCATTTATTTGAAAGCAACTTTGTTGCGACAAATGTACTAAGACTTAGGGTGTCTCCACTGAAGATGCAGAGAACATGACTGTTAAAAAAAAAAAAAAGCAAGGACTAAACCAAAATCTTGGAGGAAAGTGTAATCAAACTTGTCAAAATAGAGTTCATACCCACCTGTGTGCAGCAAGTCAATGAGAACTAAATAGCTTTTGCAGTGAAGAAAGAGAAGCTATTTTATTGAAATCGTGCCACCCAGGAGAATGGGGAGATAGTGCTGAGAATCCCAACTCTTTGGTGGCTTACAGACAAGAGGTTTTATAGAGCAAAAATCATGAATAATTATGGGTAAGAGGTTTGGTGTCATGGGTCTTGCTGATTGGTCCTTGATTAGTTAAGCAGAGACTTTACATCTTCCATTCAACTGCTTCCCTTTTGGTGTCACCTTGCCTGGTTTGGGCAAGATTGTGGTATGCAGTCATTCTGCTTTATAGGCTGAAAAACATTTTAACAATGTGTGTCAATAGGTTACCTTGGTGTGCAGGGGTAGAAGGTATACATCTTGTGACTTACTCATTGCATGCTATTATTATTTCTGTTGTCTTGGTGACTTGTTTTTCCGGCAGTCTAACAGGTCCTGCCTGGGCTAAAAAATTTCTCATGGCTAACAGGGTGCTCTGTGACTTCCTTCTTGTGGCTGTTAGCTTACACTAACTTATAAACCTATTTTGTATAAAGATATTTTTGGAGGGTATTAATTCTCCGGCTTCAAAAGTAATTTTACAACACTATTTTAGGGAACTCCGGGCAGAAATCTCTGGATTCTTTACTCTATTTTCTATGGTAGGAATCGATTTAACAGTTAAGTCACCCACTGGTAATAAAATCCAAGTATACTTGAGGTGAGAAGTTCCTTTTCTGTTTTTCTCAGGCGTTACAAAGACTCCGTTTGTCATCACCTCCACAGCTGGAAGTGTAGGCACGACAGGAGTAATGGATGCCACGTTCACCAGTCCATGGCGCCTATCAGGTAAATCAAGTTCCGAACCAAGTACACAGTATTACAGCTTAGCAACTGGTTTCAGGCAATGCTTCTCGGTACAATATTTTACAAAATAAAGATAGCTGACTTAGGTGCAATATCAGACTTAGGTGTTCTTTATATGTAATTAAAATGTAGAGTCCTTTGTTTTTTTCAGAGGTTGCTTTCTTAAAGGACGTCACGTGGTTCCAATTCTAGGTGCCCATTACCTGGAGAGCTGTTGGTGCCCATGCACTTTTTCTTAGCAGGTGTTTGTTTTTATTTTACCTTCATCAGGGGCAACGGGAGGATCAGCGAGTACAACCCCAGGAGCTAAAGATGGAATCACAGGTGACACAAGCTTCCTAAACGGTGAGACAAAGAAATGGGTCAAATGCTGTTTCTTCCATAGCTTCTTTTCACACGTAGTCCTATTTCAAGTCAGCAACAACTGTATCCTGAATACAGCATTAGATAACTGGGGTCCAGGGTCAATGCTACGTCACCTTGATGACTTTGGAAAGTTTTTCAATAATTAATCTTTATATGTTAATAAAATATTAGTGTTATATTTCTATGGTACACTAACATCTCTGAATTTTGCTCAAATATATAACATAATTTAATCCACATTGACACCACAGTAGTTAGGCCTCTTTATTCCCTTAAGGAAGACAATAATCAAAAGTCTCAAAGCTGGCAGAACCAGGATTAGAACACAGACCCTTAGACTTCTATGTAATAGCTCCATATTTCCCTGATCTGTACATAAGATCATAAATCCAAAAAAAAAAGGAAAAGAAAGCCAGACGAGAATATACTTGGCCTTTGCCCTTTTGTATCACTGACTCAATTTCAACTATTGTTAGTTTCATGAATAAAACATTATTGATATATTTTAAGCGTAGATAATTTTGATTAAAACAAACAAACCTTAGTTCACTCCTGCTCCTTGTGCAGTCAGTTAATAATTTCAAGTACCTCTTACATCTTCTCTCTGCATCACATTTGCCTTTGCTTTTGCTCCGGTGTTAAACATTTCCACCTGATCTCTAGGCAGTTCCCACCTAGCTCACCTTCCCTTACCACAGTGGTGTTCAAAGTATGGTTCCCAAACCAACAGCATGGACATCTCCTGAGAACTTTTTAGAATTGCAAATCTGGGAGGCCCCCTCCCTAGAATCAGAAGCTCTTAAAGTGGAACTGAGAACAGTGTATTAACAAGTCCTTTAGGCAACTGATGCTTATCAAAGTTGAAAACATTTCCACTCCTTCAACAGTTCCCTCCCAAATTACACTTTAGTCAATACCACTAGCCAGAATGCAGTTCCAAAAACTCAACTGTCATCATGTCACCCCACTATTTAAAACCCTTCAATTGTCCTGAGTGCTTTTAGGATGAATAAAAATTCCTTTATATAGCATTAAAACCCATTTCTTTAGAATATGTGTGGGACTTCTCCTTATGCCTTTATTAATTAATTCATGGTCTGATTTTGTTTTTTCTACATTTATTTTCCCTTAGCAAATTTCTTGATTTAAAATTTATGTCCTGTATACTTTTTGGAATAAGACACAGTTGACATAAAAACAGTGTGTAATAAGATATAACCTATAGCAGCACAAATTAAGAAACTGGTTAATTCCAATTAGATCAGTGAACTGAATGAAATTTTAGGGTGCTGACTATTTATATTGTTTAAAATTTGAATCAGAATTATTTGGTTAATAATGACAAGTTAGTCAGTTGTCTTTTTTGGTTATCAGGTAGTAAGTACAGTGGCTTTAAACAAAGCTGGTGAAGGTTTGGCCCACAAACGAGTGCCATCCGGAACTGTTTGTTACTGGCCCATGATGTGATAAGAACAGAAACAGAGAACAAACGTTTAGAAACAGCAATTTGACACAATGATTTTATATCTGTTGAATAAAAGCTTATGTTATGGATGGTTTTATTGTTTTTAATTTTGTTTCTCTACTTTCATGCCGTTGTCTCAAAACTTCAATGTAAGGCAGATGGGAAATTTTACAATATTGCTTTTACCACGGATTGTTTGAGAAGCCAAAGTTAGAGTGTAAACGCTGGGGCTAGACGGCCTGGGTTTGGCTGCTGGATCTGCTGCCAACTAGCTAGGTGACCTGGGGAAAACCATTTAACCACATCTGTTAAATGGGAATAATAACATGACCTGCCGCCGAGGGTTTTTATAAGATTAAATGAGTGGATTTATAGCTAGGGTATTTTTTAAACTGCTGTGGTTTTTTTGTTTTGTTTTATTTTTTTCTTCAGCTGGATCAAATGCCCCTACTGCACTGCAACCTGTAAGTGAGAAACACAGCACACCCAGGGAGCCAAGCACAGGAGCAACAAGCCCAGGAAAATCAGGCAAGTCAGAATGTATACTTCAGCACCTATTAAATGGCACTCAACATATTACAGGTTAAAGGAAAGATTAAGATGTATGTGATATTAGACCATTTAGCTGCAGAAATCCTAGGGATCATTTAAAGATTTCTTTTATGTTGGAAGCCTCAATTTTGTCACATTAGAAAAGAAGAGTGACATGTAGAACCCTATAACTCAGAGAAGTAATGCCCTTTCCTTGCTGTTATGTCAGGGACCTCAGAAGCATCAGAGGTCTTTATAACAGCACATAGGAGCTAGAGCACCAGTGGAGACCCAAATGCCCCAGGCACAACCTCGGGAGGCAGAGCAGGGATGGAAAGGGGCGTTCTGAAGCCTCTTCTTACTGAACTTAGGGAAGTCACCAGGGGCTTCTGCTATGTTATTAGTTATTAGTAAATAACATATTCAGGACTTCACCATCCCTACATTTATGGGCTTCAGGGCAGTGTTTCTCTTACATCAGCTCAGAGGCGATTTAAAGCCAAGTATGTTACATTTCAGATTCCAGGACTCCTGCTTTAGAACTTCTCAGTCTGTGAGTCTGGGGCGGGGCTCAGGTCATGATTTGCAATATTGGTTATAAATCAAAATTGACTAGATAAACTTTTAAAATACGTATTGAAGAGCCCGTTACAGACTAATTGAATTGGAACTTCTGGAGGAAGGGTCCAGGTGAAGGGGACTCAAATTTTGTCACCCCGAAGCTTTCTTTTGGGATATTAATTTTAAGCTGGTTATTAAGACACAACTCAGACAGAGAAATCTTTGAGCCTCCCTCCTTTCCTACCCAAGAGATTCAGACAGAAAAACCCGCCTTAGGAAGGGAGCCTGGGCTTGATCACCTTAAGCATCTTCTTCGCCCTGGCGTTTGTCAGGAAGACTCCAAGCCTGTTAGCTAGATACCCCCTGTGGCCCATTGTCTCTGAGCTGCCCAGCAGGAATTTTTCTGCCATGTCTGTTCTGCTTCTCACCTCCCTGTAAATCGCCCATCCTCACTTTTGAAATCTAATACTCCATCCTCCCCTTTTCTCCTTTGGTCATAAATGTTATATATACCCAATGTTGCCTCACTGTCTTTGGCATTTTCATGTCTATGTGAATTCCCCATGTGCATGTGTTAACATTTTGATTTTCTCCTGTTAATCTGTCTCTGTTAATTTGATTATTAGCCCAGCTAGAAGAACTTAGAAGCTGAGAAGAAAAGTATTAATATTTTTTTAGCCCCCACAGTTAAAAAAATTAATACTTAAAAAAATAATACTTTAATTTTAAAAGCCTTATAGTTGGTTCCAATGGATAACCTGGACTGAGAACCATTGGGCTAGTATATCTATATTTAGGAAACAATCCAGGTGATTCCTATGATTAATTTTTGAGGGAACTTGAAATGGATAAGTGTGAACATATATATGAAAAGTATTTTGAAAGCAGTAACAGCACAATCTGTTCTGCTTAATTGAAGATCATGATATATATTTATTGTTTGTTTTTAAAGGGACTACTGGATCCTTAGCTGGTAAAACGACTAGAACACCAAGCAGTGAAGTGACACCATCTGAAGGCAAATTAGGTAAGTAGAAGATGTCATTCAGAGGCCATGGCTTTTGTCAAAAACGACAGTCTTTCATCAGAACCCTGGTGATTTTACTCAGTAATAATTAATTAATCAAGTACTATCAAATACTAACAAAAGATGTTGAATGGTATAACAATGATTCTTATTTTCAAGATTTTTATTTTTCTGGCTTCTCCGAATCTTCCCTTCAAAAGTACCATAGTACTGGATTGTTACAATAATGCATATGCTCTCCAATACTGTGTTTACCAGTACTAACAAGAAAGTCTGCTGGAACTACTGCTGGAACTGGCAGTATCAGCACAGCTAGACCACCTTTCTCGGCTTACAGCCCAACTGCGAACTCAGCAGATGAGGTGCGGGCTCACCTGGCCACTTTCGTGGTGCTCCATTATGAGCTCAGCTGAAACCTCAAGTTCTTACGAGGAGTTTAAGTGAATTTAGCAATGGCTATGGCTATAATTTTAGGATCAATGAATATGGGTAGTGGGAGTATTTTCAACACAAATGCCTATGTAGACTTAGAATTGCCAGTTAAAATACAGAATGCCATCTAAATTTGAATTTCATATAAATAAGGAATAATTTTTTAGTATAGGTATGTCCCATGCAGTAATTGGAACATAAGTTGTTTGTTGTTAATCTGGCATGCAAATTTAACTGGTGCTTGTATATTTATTTGCTAACTTTGGCAACCCCAGTAGGGACTGAGCACCACTGTTCTTTCCAATTAGGAACAACTGGAGGGGAAAATGCAGCCACCACTGGAGCTTTTGGTGAAAACACTTCTGAAGCATCAGGTACTGAAAGGATATAATCAAAATAAATCTAGACAATAGAAATGTGATTTCTTTACTTAAAATTTTGTCAGAGACAAGTTTTCCTGGGGAATTTAATTATTATTATTTGTGTAATTTCAAAACTAAAGATTAGAAATAAATCAAGATCTATTTACTATGTGTATCACATAATGCTCTAGAGAATATAGGAGCAGAGTAGAGTAAGATACTTCTCTTAGAACTTGATTTTTGAGCAATAGAAATGAATATTTATATACACTCAAAGGCAAAAACCATGCAAGGCAGAAGATAATCAAAGTCAAAGAAATTTTCAGTGACAAATGTTGAAGTGGGAACTCAGGAGGAAGTTCTAGTAATAGGACTAATAAGTTGGTGTTAAAAACAATAGAATTATTCTATTTTGAAAAGAATATGATTTAATCAGTGCACTATGACTATATATATATATATATATATATATATGGACTGTATATATATATATATATATATATATGTGTATATATATATATATATATATATATATATATATATATATATATGCTTTAATTTGAGCAAAAACTGAAAATACAAGTAAGCTGAGTAAAATTTTGGGATACATTTAATTTCAGGGAAATAAAGAACAGTCATATTTCAAGTATTGAGGAACCAGAATTGAAAACAAAATCTTCTTCCACCCAGAGACCCTGTCCACAAAGAAAACACTTTTATTGTTGAAAAAGCATTAAACCAGAATGTAATAGAAATCACAGACAATTTGCTAAATGAGTGTAAAGACAGAAAGAAATCTCACCAAGCAGACACAAACCATTACATATATGTTCTCAAGAAAAATGTTAGCTGATCCCAAAGCAACAGAACTTGATAGCATTTATTACAGGTAGTTCATCCTAAATTCACCTGGTAATTGGGGTGACCATCTGGTTAGTTAATTGGTTTTCTACAAAGAAAAAATAAACTTCTCCTATCTTGATGACAGGGGGAAGTTTTGTAACCAGAGGAAGATAGGAGAAACATCTCCCTTGATGTTTACATTTCAAAGAGATAGCAACCAGGTCCCTGAAAAAGACATTCTTGGGTCATAAAGACAGCAAGAAGTTTCAAAGGCACAGAGAAAGAACTCAAAATAACTAATTTTCTAAAGTAAATGTTCTAAGAGAAGGAAGAGGGAAGTGACTTGCCTTATTTTCAACAGAGAGAATTATACTTCTCATTTAAAGTTTTTATTTTTCCTTATACAAGCCACCTTCATAAGATGATCAATTTTATATTTTAATTAGCTAACTTTTTTGTTTCTATTATAAAATTAAGCCATGCTGGGGTATGGAACCACCCTGGATCTGGAGGTGGCAGCACCCCTGAGCAACCAAGCTCTGGACCCACAAATCTTTGGAAATCACACACGTCTGGACCTGACTTTTCAGTTGTTTTTAACTATACATCTCTCAGCAGGGTGTGATCTGGTCTACGGACCTGATCCTTAATTTTCATTGATGCTCTTAGATTTGAGCATAATTTAAGCTCAAGTAACCAATGGAAAATTAAAAAAAAAAAAAAAAGAAAAGAAAAGAAAAGAAAAGAAAGAGTCAGGGAAATGATGGTTACATACATTTGAATCTACATATACCGCTTCCTACAAACCATATATATACACAGAGAGCCCAAACCTACAGTGTTTAAGAGAGAGAGAGATAACTCAGGCTCTAAAGATCAGGAAAGGTGACTCTGGGGCTTATAGTGGAGCTGAGATTTAGGTCAGGGAATGCCAGAAGAGGGAAGTAGAGATGCTTAATAGTGGTAGAACATAGCATCAACTAGGATTCATCCCAAGGAATAAAGGGCCCCACCCAAAATATAGTATACTGAGAAAATCTGAGACCTGGCAAGTCAGAGCACTTGTGGGTGGGGAGTTGAAATAAAAAGGGTTGGAAAGTTTATGTAATGAGATCTGGCAGTCTTGGGAAGGCATTTGACTGCTTGTCAAGGAGAGAGGCGTATTGGAAAATGGTGGAATTCTTGGAGCCTGAATGTCAGTGGAAAAGAAAAAAGTATTGAAAGCCAAGAGTCTCAAGAAAACAGGATAATAATTAAGAATTAGAACAGACAAAGGAAAAGTGCCACTTACAAAAGAAGCCTCCCTTCACCCTGATAACATAAAAGAAAGCTCTTGATCTGAGAAATCTGGTGATCCACAACCAAAGCTTCTTTGCCTCCCACTGCAAAAGATCTGCTATTGTTGTTTCAGGAAAATCCAATGCAAAAAAAGAAAAAGAAAATTACATTATTTATATAAAGCTATTCCTTCTCATACATTTTTAGTAGTTTTCAGCAAGCAAATTCTAAAAATTGAGTCATGAAGCAGCGTTATAGAACAGAAAATGTTCGTCTACCCCGTGCTAGCAGAGCTAAATACCGAGAATAGCAGTGGAGAAATGTTGGCTATTTTATTGATGAATGGCACCATCCAAGAGAACGGGAAGCTAATGCTCAAAAGCCCAAACTCCTCTATGGCATTAGGTTACAGATTATGTAGGGCAAAATCACAAGATGCTGTGAGTTAGGCACTTGGGGTCATGCTGGGAGCTGATTGGTCGGAGGTGAGGTAAGGGTACTGAATCATTTCTTCAGGTCTTGAGGACAGTTCTGAGGTTGGTTCTGGTTTCCCTCTGTCGGGTCTCATGGGAAAGGAGTTGGGGGCCTTTCCACCTTAGGGCTCAGGAACTAAAACATAACTTAGGTCAAGATGTTATCTTTAGCCTGCCAGTGGTCCAAGCCTGTGACCATTACTTAGGTTCTGACTACTGTCTTCTGCTGCATCTGGGGTTGCTGACTATTGGGGGAAAGGCTACATCTCTTGAGTGGTATGTATAAAGAGAGAGAGATGGTTTCTAGAGCTAGGAATTAAAACTAAATTTAATCAAAGTCATAAGGACCGTTGGTTTCAGCAGAGGAATACTAAACTATAATATTAACATGAATTTAAAATAAAGAAGCTACTGCAGCTATAAAGAGACATTAAAATTATAAATTAAAAACTCAGGGTAAAAATAGCTGTTAACTGGAAATAATAAAAACCCAAAAGAGAGGTTGAAAAAAAAATTATCTCAAAAGTAAAGGCCAAGGAACAAGGTACCCAACAGAGAATATAATAAATAAGACTGAACATATAGCAAGGGGTTAGAGGATAAAATGGAGAAGAACCCCACTCTTCCAAAAAATTGCAGACATTTTAAAAAAAGATAAAGTGAATCAGAGTCGTATGTACAGGACACAGACAAAAATGTCTAACGTGTATATTATTGCAATTTCTGGAGAAGAAAAAACAATGAAACATTATATTTAAAACTGTAAATTAGTACACATTTCCTGCAATTAAAAAAAAAAGATTTCAATCTATATCTATGTTAAAAGAACCTACCGTATACTGGAAGAATTAATCCTGAACAGTCAATTCTATCACTTATTTTAGAAAACTGTTAGACTTGAAAGATAAAGAAATTCTCTGGACTTCAAGGCACATCAACAAAGTTATTTACAAAAGAAAATCAGGGTAGCATCAGATTTAAGAATAGAGTAGCTTTTATAAGATACTCAAGGAAGGCAAATATGGGCCAAGGGTTTTATATAAAGCTAAGTGTAAATTAAGTATCAAGGCTACAGGAAAATAGTTTAAAACAGGAAAGAACTTAGGGAATTACGTATCTATGAGCCCTTCATAATAAAATCACCAGAGGATGAGTGTAGATCAACAAAGAAATGCTTTAAAAATTAACAAAAAGATTATTAGCACTATTTTTAACTTACCTCTAAAACTAGAACAAATGTTGAAAGAAAGGTAGAAAAAAATACATAAATGTTACATATTTGACCAAGTAAAAATATCACATCAATAAATAGGAATAAGAAAGATAAGATAAGCTTATTGATTTAAGTAACAGGTAGTAGTAAAAAAAAATTAAAGCTCATGAACCAAATAACAGAAAATTAAGTTTCTTAAAGAGTAAACAAAAAAGCATTAAGAAATAAAATGGTATTTACTTAAATTGAAAAATACAGAATAGAAAGAGGAGAATAAAAGAAGAAATTATGCATTAAATGTGTTGCTGTTTACAGGGGAGAACCAATAGATACTAGTTGAAAGAAAACTGGGATGATACTACTGGGATTATATAAAAACATTACTATAAAAATATAACCTTTCTAACTATCAAAAGACAAGTAAAAAAGAAAAAAGAAAAAAGAGAGCAATTTAAGAGTTTGCATAGCAAAAGACAAATGACTGAAACTAGAATCCAAAAGCACATTAAAATAATTTCAATAAAAATTTTACTGAAATTTTGCTTCAAAATTTTGAAATCCATTGATATAGTTCATTATACTAATAGCTCTACAAAATAAAAACAACTAGCTATCTACATAGAGGCAAAAAGGGCATTTGATGAACAATCAGTAACTAATTCTGATGAGGAAAAAAACAACAACAACCTGCCAAATGGGTGTCCATGCTCATATGTAAACATTGCTCCTAGAGCCAATATGCAATTAAGTGAGCGAATCACTTAAACTCTTTAGCCTCTGTTTTCTTATCTGCAAATGTGGGCAATGTAATCTATTAAGTGGGATTGTGATGAGCATTCAATGAAATAATAAATAAATAAATGTCAAAGCACATTTTTTGAAATGTATAAAGAGTAATAATTATTATTACAGAAAAGTGGACATTTCTGTAATCTATAGTTGAAAATTAATTTAAGTCAGAATTGGTTATCTCATAGTTTAAGAAATTCTGTGAATGAGCCCTTTCCATTTTTTCCTTTATAACAGGTACAACTGGAACATCAGCTGGTACAATGGGTAGAGGTGAAAGTATACCCGGGTTACCCAGCAGTGGGACTACAAGTTCTTCAAATAAGCAAGGTGAGATTAAACACAAAAAAGTCACAAAATCTTGAGTTGGTGTAGAAATTTGTTTATAAATGACTATAAAATAGAATATTTATTTAGTTGGAAGTCTTTCCTG